CTTTGAAGTCGCCGGATGGCGGCAGGGGAACCGGACCGGAACTGCTGCGTCGCTGAAGAAGCGGAGAAGCAGGTTAGCCGAGCTGAGAGGTCCCCGATTCCCGCCGTGTCAACGGCGAGCGGCTTCGGATCAGCTTGAGACGTAGAGTCGTTGCTGAAGGAGAAAAAATCCGCTGCCGCGCCATTGGTTCGTTTTTAAAGCCCTGCACGAACCAATGGCCGTGCAGTTTCACTGCGTGAATGAAATAGGCTTCAGTTCAGGAGAAAAAAGGCTTTTTCCCATATGCGTCTTAAGCAAGACGCAGTACGAGTGACGTATCAAAAGGGAACTTTTATTAGGGTAAAAAAAAAAACAAGAGGACATGATGATATTTTTACACACCAGTGGCTTTTAAATGAATTGTGAATCTAAAATATGCATGTTAGAGAATGTACAAATGGTTAACATTGTTTGTATCATATCAGTCAGAAAAGCAGTTCTGTTTATTTTTTAGTTAACTTAGTTGCTATTCTTGGCTGAATAACTCTATAAGGTTTTAAAAGCCCTTTAAAATGAAATATGTACACAGTTTGGATTAAATGAAAGTATAGTCAAAATTTTTAACTAGCACGTTTTTGTGTTTTGCTTTGGTACCGAAATTGGTACAGAGAACCGTGGATTTTCACTGTTATTGGTACCAAATACTGAAATTTTGGTACCGTGACAACACTACACTAGACTTAATTATATCGCATGGAACCACTCTTACTGATATAAATGTGATACAGCAAAGTGATGATGTTACTGATCACTACCTTGTAACGTCTGTACTTATTACCGCTGATATTTGTCATATCACTCCGCGTTATCGACTAGGTAGAACAATTATCCCAACCACTAAAGATAGATTCACAAATAACCTGCCTGATCTGTCTCAGCTGCTCAGTGTTCCCATAAACACAAATTAACTAGATGAAATGACCATGGACATCTTCTCCAATACGTTACATACTGTCACACCCATCAGATTAAATAAAGGTTAGAGGGAAAAATACTACACCATGGTACAACAGTAATACTCAGGCTCTCAAGAGAGATACTCATAGAGTGCAAACGGAAACAAACTCATTTAGAGGTTTTTAAAATTGCAAGGAAAGAAAGCATATCCCGCTACAAAAAGGCTCTAAAAGCAGCTAGGGCTGAGCATTTCCGCAAACTCACAGAAAATAACCAAAACTATACAAAGTATCTATTTAATACAGTCGCTAGACTAACAAATAAACAGACATCACCTGATCTGAATATTCCTTCACAGTTTAGTAATGATGACTTTATGAATTTCTTCACCAAGAAAACTATTAGAAATACAATTGTAAATGTGCAAACTTTGACTGCGTTTTATGATCCAGCCTCTGTTACTGCCCCTAAAGAACAATTACAGTTCTTTACAACTATAGGACGAGTAGAACTAAGTAACTAATCATTACATCTAAACCAACAACATGTTTACTAGATCCCATTCCCACTACAATATTGAAAGAGTTGTTACCTGTAGCAGAAAAGCCTCTTCTCATTATTATTAATTCATCTCTATCTCTAGGTTATGTTCCAAAACCATTTAAAATGGCAGTTATTAAGTGTTTCATTGAGAAACGGCAACTATCCAAATGAATTGCCAAATTACAGACCCATTACAAATCTTTCGTTTATGTCTAAAATATTAGAAAAAGTTGTGTCCTTCCTTTGTACTCCAATTGTACTCCTTCCTGCTAAAAAATTACCTCTAAAAATTTCAGTCAGGCCTCACCATAGCACAGAAACTGCACTCGTTAAAATTTACAAATGTGTCTCAATACTAGTTTTACTTCCTAGTGCTGCGATCGACACTATAAACCATGACATACTCTTAGGCCGACAACAAAATTACACTGAAATTCAGGGACAGGCATTATGGTACGTTACCATTTTGTCTACTTAAATGGTGAAAAATCCAAGTTATCATCAGTAAATTAGGTGTGCCGCAAGGATCCGTTTTATGCTATGCCGATGATACTCAGTTATATATTTCATCAAGACCAGATGAAATTTCTAAACTATCCAAGTTGACAGAATGTGTTAAAGATATAAAACATTGGATGGCCAGTAATTAGTTTCTATTAAATTCAGACAAGACTGAGGTATTACTTATTGGACAAAAAAACCTGCACACAGAATCTCTTAGAATACAGTTTACAACTAGACGGATGTACTGTTATGTCATCATCTGCAGTTAAAGACCTGGGTGTTATTTTAGACAGCAACTTATCTTTCGAAAATCATATTTCATATGTTACAAAAACAGCCTTCTTCCACCTCATTGCTACATTGCTCATTATAACATTTCTAAGCTACAGAGCATGTTATCTGTTTCTGACGCAGAAAAGCTAGTTCATGCATTCATGACTCCTTGACTAGATTACTGTAATGCACTACTAGCTGGTTGTCCTGCATCTTCAATAAACAAGCTACGTGTAGTCCAAAATGGAGCTGCTAGAGTTCTTACCAGGTCTAAAAAAATATTATCATATTACCCCAATTTTATCATCTCTACACTGGTTACCTATTAAGTTCCGTACTGATTTAAAAATATTGCTACTGACCTATAAGGCACTAAATGGTTTAGCCCCTGTATATTTAACGGATATTTTTGTGCCCTATAATCCATCATGCTCTTTAAGCTCATGAAACTCTGGACTTTTAGTAGTACCTAAGATATATAAGTCCACTAAAAGAGGGAGAGCATTTTCCCATCTGGCTCCTAAACTCTGGAATAGTCTTCCTGATAATGTCCGGGGCTCAGCCTCAAACACACTCTCTCTGTTTAAATCTAAATTAAAGACACATCTCTTCAGCCAAGCATTCGCATAATGAATCTCAATCTCACCCTTGTTCCCAGTTAGATCAGATAAAAAGTCACAAACATATTTTTTTGCTTGTTATGAACAGCATACGCTAATTATTTTCTATCTGCCTTTCTGTTCCTAACCCCGGGATGCCCATCTTGAGGTAACTAGAGATTACACCAGCGTGGATACAGCCTCATAGAAAGACTTCAGATGACCCAACACCTTTGAAGAGATGATGCTGACCCCTGCAAGGACCCCAGATGATGCCAACTTGAATCGACATGCACAACTGCCAACATTTCTCTATATTGTAATCATTATGATCACACTTGTAATAATCGCTTTAATGAGCTTCTGCCTGAAATTAATTAATGTTAGGTAAGTCTATGTGTCACAATTCACTCGGGAAGCAAGGAACGAGGAAACGAGGAGTACTTGAATAACACAGTCTTTAATAATCCACAGGAAAACTGAGAACAAGGAGGACATTCAACAAGTAGACCCGACAAACAAGAACTGAAAGGACTAGGGATTTTTAAAGGCAGGATAATTGGGGAGGAACGAGACACACCTGGAATCAAATTAACACAACATGAGGAAGAAACTGGGTCACAGGGTCAAAAACACACACAGAATTGTCCATAATCCTGACATAACGCCCCCTCCCGGAAGGTGCGTCCTCGCACAGTAGCAACAATAGAGGGAGGCGTGGGTGGGAACTTGGGAGGAGGTTCCGGAGGAGGACGGATATCCGGGAGGAGGCCGGCAGACAGAGACCAGGGGGGCGACGAAGGAGGAAGGAGCCAGGGAGGAGACAGGAGGGACCCGGAGCAAGAGGAGCACAGCAGGACCCAGGCCACAGCCATGATGTCAACCCACGGTGGAGCCGACGGAGGAGGAATGGCCGCCGACTCCAGGGGGCCAACCAACGGCGGCGGAGCAGGGGGTGGTGGAGCCCGTGGCGGAGACGGAGAGCCGATGAGCCAGAGCGACAGGGAGGATCCTGAGGTCCTAGGCAGAGCAGATGGTGCCAGCGACTGACATGGAGATGTGGATCCGGGAGGCCGCGGTTGAGCCGGAGCGACAAAGGACTGAGGTGGAGCCGAGGGGATGAAGGAGCCTGACGGAGCCGGAGGGACGAGGCGAAGCCAGAGGGGTGGAGTCCTGAGGCACAGGATGGTAGACGCCAGACCAAGGCGGAGCCGGAGGGATGAGGTAGCCTCGCGGAGCTTGTGCACTGCCGGGCCACGACAGAGAGGAGGGAGCTAGGAGCCATGGTGGAGCCAATGGGTCAACGGGCCCAGGCAGATTCCAGGCCTCGGAGGCTGGAGGCAGAGTCAAGGGAGACTCCAGTCACGGCGACGCTGGAGGATGGCAGTCCCGCGGGGCTCGCACCGCAATGATGGTGGGCTGAGGGCTCCGCGGCGAGCCTCAGTTCTGTCGCTCTGTCCCGAGCAGGTTTAAGATTACGGACATGTTGCTATGACAGCAACTCCGGGATTAGCATGGCAATGTTAGCCCCTGCTGTTAAGATTCTGTTACTACACCAAAAACTGGTCTCAAATCTTTCAGAAAGGTGAACTGCATCAGCATTAGGTTATAAATTTAAGAGATTGCGAAATGACATTTCAGATAAAACGACTTGCTTGTACAGGAGAATTCAAAATCCGCTGCTGAAAACAAAAAAACAAAACTTCTGGTTATGGATGGAAATATCTGAAATAACGTTGCTTTTTTCTTCATATGTTGTTTAAATCACAATCTCATTTTATAGGGTGTCAGTACAAATCACAGCTGGTGTTAAGAAAAAAGCATTTTATTAAACTTTAAATTACGTTTTTATAAGCGGAATAATGGCTGCAAACTAAACTGGCAGGCCTGCACATGAAATGTTAATAAACACACTTTTTAATAAAACCTAACTGAAAACCGCAGTAAACAGCAATATATGATTACCGTAGCCTTAGAAACGCCTGCCTACGTGTGTCTTTATTAAAGTTTAGAGCTTGTAATCGTTAAACGATGTAACGAACCGCACCGAGTCATTTTAAGCGGTTCTTTGAACCGACCGTTCAAAAGAACCGATTAGCGCAAACGAGTCACATGAGGTAAACTGAACCGCCAGTAAACCGTTGCTTTCTTGTGACGTAATGACGTTCCTCACGTCAGCGACAGCACACGCTTCAAACGCCATTTGACCGAGCAGCAGTGCAGCGACGTTCCTCAGTAGGTAACGTTACTGTTGTATTTAAAGTTATATTCTCAATCCGTTACTCGGTTTTTACTGTTCATTTAGAGGACAGGAATTAAAATTGAATTTACGGTTTGTTTAACCCCCGACGTTATGTACTATTTATTTGTAATAAAGTTTTTAAACTTGTTAAAATGCAAATGTGATTCATCGTAGCTCATTTGGTTCAGAAGTATTTTTTACACGAGTATAAAAGACACAGCTCTCATACAAAGTGTTTATTTTTTATTAGGCTATTATATGTTGTGCAAACAACACTTACCGCAACCAAATATAAAAATTCCGTCATTTACAGAATCTCTCATGTTGTAAATGTCCTTATCTGTATTTTTTTTTTTTTTTTTCAATGGGTAAACTATTCTTTTAACCTCTTTTAGTACAAAACTTGAAACATACACTGATTTCTGATCGATGTATTGCTTCTGTTATGAACTGATACACCAATAACCACTTTTTTCATCCTCAGCCATGTCAACAAAAGACTCAAAGCCAAATCTCAGCCATTCCCAGGTTACGGAGATTATCAGGCGGCTCTATGGCTGGACCGTGTCCGTCATTCGCCCGCTGCCCAGTTACGATGATCAGAACTTTTACGTGGCCCCCAGTGAGGGTGGAGAATATGTGCTGAAGGCTATGAACTCTGCAGACAGTCACAACATCACTCTTATTGAGCTGCAGACTCACACCATGAACTTCTTACACCAGAGAGGCCTTCCTGCCCAGACCGCTTTGCCCACTCTGACCGGCAAACTCATGAGCTTGGAAGAATTTGGTATGAGTACATGTCAATTATTAATTTAATGAAATATTAAGTCCTAAAATGCAGGTTTTAAATGCCTGTTAAAGGTGAGTAAACAATGACAGATCTCAGAATGGCGTATACATGGATTTATATTGTAACTCATACTAATTAACACATTTTTTTATTTTTTTTGTGCTATTACAGATTGTGGTTTTGGCCCGCAGAAATATTTAGTGCGTTTACTTACCTACCTGCCTGGCACTACTGTAGCCAAAATTACCTGCAGTCCTCAGATCTTGTATGATGTTGGGAAAATGGCCGCCACCTTGGATACAGTTTTACTGCAAGTAAAATCTTTAATTCCATTTATAAAGGAAAACTTCAGTCCAAAAACACACCAAGAATGGAAACTACAACGATAATATAACGTCCACACCAATGGACAACAACGTCTCCCAAAATCGTCCTAAGGCTAAGTAGATCGTAGAAACAATAGAGTTCAATCAGTGCGAATCATTTTAGAATTACGTATTGTTTTTTTGTTATTAGTGTACTAATATTTTAATGTTCTCGCAGCATGCGTTTTAAAGCCAGATGCATTTTGAATGTTCATGTTTGTTTTTTTTTGTTTTTATCTGCTGAAAAAGTATTTCTGTAAAATTATTCTAACTATATTGTAACTATGTCAGTATAGTTGTGATGTGGATGATTTGTAAAACTTTATGGTTATAGTTAGGGGTGTGCAATATTCACAAAAATTACTTTCTTTACTTTAATTCTGACTGCATTCTAATAGGCTTCATCACACAGTCGATGCTTTAGGACTCTCAAGATGTGTTTTTGTTTGTTTTTTGCAAAGTGAGTGACATAGTCAATAATGTCGGCTTGCATATCGTTAAAACAACAATTACTATATTATCACAGACGATAAATATTGCAAACCCCTAGTTATAGTTATTGTTCTTGGTGTGAACGAGCCTTAAACATTTTTTGTCCTATTTTACAAATGTTTCCCACTTTATTTAGGCATTTGTTTGTTTTTTATCTTGTACAGATGGAGCATCCAAACATCAGTGTCCTTCAGAGAGCAGATTTTATATGGAATCTCACCAGCGTTCCTCTCTTAAACCAGTATATTCATGTGATGGATGGGGATCCCGTACAAAATGTTGTTAAAGCCGTGATAAAGCAGTACCAGATCCAAGTCGTGACAAAACTACCATTGTTTCGCAAGTGTAAGATGTTATTTTCATTTCAGTGTCAACACTTCAGTGTCAGCGTGTTCTTTTTTTTTTTTTTTTTTTTTTACATTTTTATTGCGTTGCAGGCATTAACCATGGAGACTTTAACGACCACAATCTCTTGGTGAAACCCGATGGACCCTCAAAATACCAGATCTCTGGGATTCTTGATTTTGGAGACATGAGCTGTGGGTATTTCATATTTGAGCTGGCCATCACCATCATGTACATGATGATTGAAAATCCCAATCCGGTAGACGTCGGAGGGCCAGTGGTGGCGGGATGGGAAAGCGTTTTTCCTCTCAACGAGGCAGAAAGAGACTCGCTCTATTTGCTGGTTCTCTGTCGGTTCTGCCAGTCCCTGGTTTTGGCCCGGAACGCTGTGATCCAGCAGCCAGAGAATGAGGAGTACTTGATGATCACCGCCAGAACAGGAGTGCGCCATCTCTGCCGTCTTTGGGAGCTGGGTAAAGAGGAAGTGGAAAGAATATGGTTCCAGAGTGCTGCACAGTTCAGTCAACCTTGAGTTGAGTGACTGCATGCTTAAAAATTATATGCAATAAACTGGGATGCATTGAAGATATAGTTCAGCCAAAAATTTGAACCACAACTTGAAATAATGAAAGTCATTGGGGACTGGAATCCGTGTATCATTCGATCATTCGTTTTTTGATTTAATATTGAAATTAGAAAAATGAGAAAATGGCTCCTTTTTTGTTTTTATCCAAAAAATGAAAAACAAGAATTCAGCTTAAATTTTAGTTTTTCATTCATGGGTGGAAAAATGAATAAACAGCTTGAATATTCGATTTCTACATGTGGGCGGGAATTAAACACCCCTTTTTGCTGATTGGTCAGCCAAAGATCAAACCATGCCATCATCAGTTCTTCCACAGTATCACGCAGCAGAATAATAGTCCTCCACTGCTGCAGTTGTATGGATTCTTAACGCATTTATTGCAACTACATTGAATCTTTTTTCATCAAACAAACAGGCTAATGAATAGCTGGACACAACTCATACTGGGGCAGAGTCTAGACAGGGCTTTCTTCTGTGTAGATATAAATTCTATTCTTTGCATCAGCTGGGCATGGCAGGGTATAATATGACAGCTTTCTTAGCCTACCCTGCTCACCCAGTAAGTCTGTTTGTTTGTTTAATTAAGAAATTAATTCGTTTCAAAATAAACATTTTAAACACTAAGACAAAAAGGAAGGGATAATAAAGTGGTTTGGGTATATATAGGCCTATAATGTTCACGCAAGAACTGCCATTCAGTAGGCCTATGTATCATGATAAAGCGACTTTACAGTCTGGAAATACTTAAGGCTATAGCAAATTATTTCTCGGACCCCCTATCACTTTAAGTACCGCTGGTCTACACAGAAGAAAGCCCCGGTACGAGTTGTGTCGAGCTATTCATTAGTCTGTTTGATGAGAAAAATATTAAATTGATAAAATGTGTTAAGAATCCATACAACTGCAGCAGTGGAGGACTATTATTCTGCTGCGTGATACTGCGGAAGAACTGATGAAGGCACGGTTTGATCTTCGGCTGACCAATCAGCAGAAAGCGGCGTTTAATTCCCGCCCACATGTAGAAATCGAATATTCAAGCTGTTTATTAATTTTTCCACCCATGAACGAAAAAAGGAAAATTTAACCTGAATTCTCGTTTTTCATTTTTTGGAAACAAACAAAAAAACGAAAAAAGAGCCGTTTTCTCATTTTTCTACATTCGATATTAAATTAAAAAATGAATGATCGAATGATACACGGATTGTCTGGGACTGTCAAGCCCCAAAATGTCCCAAAAAATAAAAAAATGATTAAAGTATTATAAAAGTGGTCCAAAAAGTGCACAGTAAGTCATATGATAATGTCAAATGGTGTTGCTACACGACTTCTGGCATCAATTTTGAAACTTTGGTAGATGTTATTGGTGAATAATTAAGTTAAATTAGTTTAATAATAATTGTGTTCATTTTTGGTTTGTTCCACACAAATCTCTTGTATGCCTTCAGAAGACTCTGACTATAGTGCACATGTAATATGGATCACTTTTATGATATTTTCATGGTTCTTTTGGAGCTTGAAAACCCCATTCACTTTCATTATATGGAAAAGAGCAACTAATTCATAATTTAAAAAAATCTCCCATTTTGTTTCACAGAAGATAGAAAGTCATGTTTCTGGAACAAAAAGAGGGTGAGTGAATAATAACACGATTTTAATTTTGAAGTAAACTAACACTGGTATGAATGCAACATCTACTTTGATGTCAAAACTAAGTATTAATGAGTTAATAGGCATGAAATGCAATTTGGCTACAGCAAGAATATCTCAAGAATTAATGAATGATTATACTCGATGATCCTTCAATTTTTAAAGTTGCACAAAATTAATTACTATCACTAATACCAAGAGTGCCATCATTTCTTTAACAAAGCAGCAGAAGGTTTTTCAATAGCGGAGAGTTCATTCAGGAGGTCTTAAATCACAAAACCAATTTATTCTGTTATCTATTGAGGAAGTGATTTTATTGTTTGTTTAATGTATTTTGCATCTTTAATCTTATTTGGTGCTTTTATTCCATTCCATTTATTCCAAGAGTTAAGAACCCAAATAAAGATATTTTCTATGGAACAGAAAGATTTTAAACTTGCACAATTAATAGATGATGTATTATGTATGTACTTTGTCATAGTGATGGAATGTGTTGAAAGGCCCCATAAACTTTTTATAGGCTGCCTAGTCTGATCTTGCAGCACATGTTATGCATAAACAAACTGCTGACTGCAGCGTTTTATCTGGTTTGTCAAAGGTCCTTTTTACTGCACGGATCAGGTATTATTTAATGGTCATAGTTTAGTTCATGCTGAAAAGTAGACCTTTCAAACAAAACATGAACCGCAAAGAGCAACAACAACAAAATATTTGGAATCTGGTTGACTAATGAAATTAGAAGGCCTAAACTGTGTTAATGACTGATTAATACATAAACATGATCATAAAGGCCTTAAAGCCTTTTATTTGGTTTTACGGGATACTAAAATGTACCACATTGTAAGTTGCTTTGGATAAAAATGTCTGGTGCCAAATCTAAAAAAAAATAAAATGTCAACCAATCAAGCGTACAAAAAACCCCCAAGTGCGTTCAAATGAAATATGTTATGCCAAACATCAGATGTGATTGTCCAGATGTTGATCCATGTTAAAAAAGACTCTTGATTCTGCTTAGGCTTCAAATAGAGAAGTCATTTTGTTTAATATCATGCTGCTCATATGCTTAATATCATTATGATCAGATGCTAAGAAGAACTTCACAAGCAACAATCCTTCAGTAAAAGCAAACATATGGGTTAGAGTATACAGTGTTCTCTCTACTGTGCAACAATGTAATTCGTTTTCACATCCTGTTACCTCTATTTGTACAGTTTTTGTGATAAAGGTCACCTATTGTCACTCAGTTGTGCCAAAGAACCTGGTGATCACTGGTGACGTCTGCTTTATGTTCTCCTGTTGTTTGCTTGCCTTTGAACTGAATAGTGAGCAGATGGAAAGGTAGGAAACATACATGTACAGCCATATCATATACACATGAATGAATGAGAACTGGGCTTAAATTTCACTGATGGTGTTTATTTTGGTATTTTAATGCTCAGACCGACTGTGCCTTATATTAGCCTGTGGGTGCAGTTTATATACAGTAGATGTGTGTGTGCGTGTATTCAAACTAGGGATTAATGACTCAATTGAAAACATGCAAGATTTGCATTGAATATTTCATTAAAGAGTCCGATTTTGAAGACTATTTTTCCATCTGTTTCTTATATAGTGGTTTTATTTTGTGTTATCCATGAAAAATAAGGCCTATGCACCATACAAATTTAAGTAATACCAATGCTGAATCTGTCAAAGCTTTTCTCAAATTGATCAAAGCTTAACATTTGGTTTTACTCTAGAACTTAAAATCCAGGCTCGTAGCAACAAGGAGAAATTAAATGATGTATGAAAAAGTACTTTTTCCATAAGTTCATATATGAATTTTGCTGAATGTTTTAATATAGTTAGCTAATCATGTATTATGGTTACATAAAGTGCTACTCATTTGGGACTAGAAGGCATTTTTCATAACTGCAGTATGCTTGTTTTACCACTAGCTCGTGCTGCTACCTCATAGAAAGCTTACAATGAATCAATGAGACCGTTTCACTCACATTAGGAAGGATCGTACTCTTATTATCAGTGTTGGCTTGCTGTGATACAATTTTCCTTTGGGGTGTTTTGTATTTTAATGTGTATCAGTTAATAGATATTGTGAGTAGTAGGCCCTTTGATATTTTTTCTATTTTATCTATCTAGGTTACTTGGGCCTGGTTTTACAGATGGCTTAGACTAAGCCAGGATTAGTGCATAATTCATTTAGTGCAACATGCCTTAGAGAAGAACATTACTGGTGTGCATCTTGAGACAAAACAAAGGGCACTGACATATTTTAAGATCAATCAGTGCAAGTTTTTTTCAGTGGAAACAGCTCAGACTTACATTTTATTCTGGGACTAGGCTTAAGCCTTGTCTGTGAAACCGGGGGTTGGTCAGTTATAAATTCTATGTATAAGTGTTACTTATATAAACAGGTTGCGATGATGGGATGTCATTTGATTACTTCTTCTGTTCCAAGTATTCGTACCTACTGCACGGCCAAATCAAAACCTCATATTCAGACCAACAGCACAATTGCGTTAGGGCCGTTCACACCAAGAACGATAACTATAAAGATAACGATATTAGCGTCCACACCAGCGAACGATATCGTCTGTTTATTCCAAGCGCACGCTCGTCTTTAAATTCTTGAGCTCGTTATAGCAGGATTGATTCTGATTGGCTGTCAATGCTTTTATTGTTCATCAGCTGGAAAAAATCCTTCTGAAAGTGATTCCAACGATATTGTTTCTCTGTGCCTTTATCGTTATAGCTGTGGTATTGACTCTGCTATTCTTTAATATTGATATTTAAAACGATATCTTTATCGTTATCTTTATAGTTATCGTCCTTGGTGTAAACAGGGCTTTAAAGTTGATACTCAGTGACGTGCATTCTAGACACAATATGCCAGTTACTTTTGATTTTTTTTGGTCTGCCAGTCAAACTAGTTACAAACGAAGCCAAAGAATTAATCCAAACAACGCACAACAGCAGCAGTGCTTCGTAAATCTGTTGTTGAACGAACTGGCGTAATGTTACTTTTAAACTACGATTATCCACTCGGCACATTTAACAGAGATACAGCTGACAAAGGCCACAATTCGGAGGCAAATCGGTGCTCGTTCACGTGAGTGAGAATCTTTTATGTGAAAGTAACATATCAAGACATGCCTGCAAATATATTATATTATAGGACTGCAATATTAGTCCTATAATATATAGGACTAGTATATAAGACTAATACAGGTGCATCTCAATAAATTAGAATGTCGTGGAAAAGTTCATTTATTTCAGTAATTCAACTCAAATTGTGAAACTGGTGTATTAAATAAATTCAGTGCACAGACTGAAGTAGTTTAAGTCTTTGGTTCTTTTAATTGTGATGATTTTGGCTCACATTTAACAAAAATTTAGAATACTTCATA